CCAAAAAAGAAAAAAAAAAAAAAAAAAAAAAAAAAAAAAAAAAAACACATCATAGTAAAATTAATACCTTCTCCGCTTCGCATCGAAGCTAAAACACATTATAGTAAAATTAAAATAGATATTTTATTATATGGAAAACTCAAAATCATAATTGAATCTTTTTTTTAAATAATCTCCGTCATTTGAAAAAAACTTTAGGTAAATAAAATAAATTATTTTAAAATTAAAATTTTTGTTCTCTATTGGTTTTCTAATGAACCTAAATTAGGTCCTATTGAACCATCCTCAGCAGTTTTATCAAGGTAATATGTGCTTAAGTATGCTACTATTAAAAACTAATATCATTTTATTTCAGAGAAAAAATTACGTGTATCTCATTTATACTAGGCGATTTAATTAGTTATATCATCCAAAGTACTTCACAATATAGACCCAGTTCTTTGGGAATCCGGTGTTGTGTTGCACATCATAGCAAAGTTTGCACTTGCTTAGATTCGCATCAAAGCTAAATAAAGAATGCCGTTTTTCAAAAACCACTAAATATTGTCAAATTTAAAAAATAATTTTCGTGTGGATTATTAAGTAATCCTAAAAAAAATTGGTTGAAACCATAAAAATGGTAGCAATTTCCCGTCAGTGATTATTAAAAATATTTCATGAAAAACGTTTAAGAAAACTTTTTTCAGTTCAATAATACATTAAAAATAAGAGATCGACAACAATTATTAAATAGTGAATAATTTCTATATCGGTAGTGTTTTTCTGATTTTTAGGTTTTGTTATCTAATTATAGTGAACAATAAAATAATTGCTACAAACAAAATCGAATAATAATTTATAATTCGACCACAGACTTTATTTTGGTTTTTTTATGATTTATTTATTTTCACGTCACTTACGTAAATTACAATACATTAAATCTCAAATGTAGTGTTTTCCCTTTAAAATATTGAGTCATTTTTTTTATTAAAAATTTGTAATATCAATAAAAATTTAACCAGAACTGGTTACTATAATTGAATCAATATTGACATATGTCTGAGTTGATAATGTTTTTCTGTACTAATAAAATAGTACTGGTGGTTTCGTATAACCGAGTGTACTATATGTCATAAAGTTAATTAAAAAATAAATATATTACATCATGTGATTCTTTTATCATTAACCACTTAATTAAACAACAATAAATACATACTATTATGTATTTATTGCTGTTATAATATTGTCATTTATAATGCATATTATAAATGTATAATATTGAGGCTTTTACTTTTGATTTATTTTAGTTCCAAGTTTCAGTCAATTTACCTATTATAGAGTATTTTACATGTTCAACTCTTACCATTTAAATTATGACTGATGGTGAAGGCACTCCTCCTCTCACCAAGGTATACAAATTTTAATAAATGAAATTAATTATGAACAAAGAAAGTTGAAACCCTTATGAATTGACTAAAATATGGAACTAAAAGAAATCAAAAATAAAATTCTCAATATTATATTTGTATTCTGATTAATTAAGTGCTTAATTATAAAAGAATTACTTTGTAAATAATTTTTACGATTACGTGCTTTATATATCTAAAAAAATCATGTGCTTAAATATTAAAACACAATTGTAATAAAAGTAACATACAATTTGAAGTTCAATTTTTTTTCCATTTTTTCGACTGCTGTTATAATTCTTCTAAAAAATAATAAAATGTAAGTACCTTTTAAATTTTTACTGAAATTACTTACAATAAATATTTAGTGTTTTTAATTTTTATTATTATTATTACTGTTATGGATAGGCGCGAGCTCAATACATTGTCGTATAGAAAGGTTATAAATAAGAAAAAATATAACCACCCTCTCTTATTGATGCACCTTTATGATCAAAATACTTACATAATTCAAACAAATTTCTGCAAAAATTTCTTTTACATTTACAAAAGTCTGAAATAATATCAAAAATCTAAATATTCAGTTTGAATTTAATTCTGGGACCTTTCTAGAAAGGCGGGAACTTCAAATTCACAGTATTATATATATAAATGGTTTATAATAAAAATTCATAAATCCCACAAATGGGGTTTAAAGAATTTTATAACATGTATAAATAATAATATTTTATGACATAAGCTAAAAATTATGGCAAATTTTAGTAAGAAAGGTTGTTTTTGTACTACAAAAATGTCGATTTACATAAACCATTTAAATTTTAAAATTTGTTTTTTTCTATCCTAAAAAATTACCAAAATATTTTGTATTAGATTTTAGAGATAGTCTAAGATATAAATACTTATTTACAGGGTAATTGTTTTAATATTAGCCACTCGATTTCTCTTAAAATAATAATTCTGTTAAAAAATTATTTTGGGTATTTTTATTTTCATACATAGTTTTCTTAATTATTGTGTAGTTTTTAATTCATCCTTATACCTTATACAGTTGTATAATGGTGTAGTTTAGTGTTGGCTCGTGGATGCTTGTGGCGGAGGTACGACTTTAAATATAATACTGCTAATCATAGGTATAATAAATTGTCAAATTAAATATAATAAAACAAAACATAATACACATATTATTATTCTAAAGGTCGCAATAGAAAATAGAGATAAAAATAATTATAATAGCAATTATTCTATAAAAGTAACTGATAACAACAAGCGTATACGTAGTTAACTATAAAAATAAATTACCAATATAGTAATATAGTAATATTTTATCATTTGGACGATGCTGCCGGTTGTCCAAACACTGCTCGTGTGTGTATATGTACTCGCATATACTAAGGAAAACAACTTTATTGTTTGCACACTACAAATGTGATATTACTATTTTACTATTTAAAATTTTCATTTTTAATAAAAATGTAGAATTAAGTATAGACAATTAATTTTCTTCTTTTAATTAATTTTAGTAGGGGGTGCGATGGTCCCGTCGTCCAAGCAACGAGACGCCACTGGTTTAGTTATATTAACATAAGCAATTTTTTTGGCGTTAAAAACTAAATAGGATTGCGTCATATATTTATTTTAAAATATATTAAATTTTAGTATTAAAGATTATTTTTTAAAAATATTATTCTAATATCAACATTTAGAGTTTTTCAAATTTTATGGGGAAATTAACAGTTTGATTGTAAAATGAACGTCAATATCAACTTTGAACGACATGTGTAGTCGATTAAACTTTAGATATAGATTTTAAATGTTATATGTGCCTTTTATATATAGCACATAGTAGTTTTAATGGGTTTTCTGATTTTAATTTTAAAAAATAGGTGGATTATTCCAAAAGCTATATGATCTCTTATTTCCTTATTTATATTCTAATTACAAGTTTTATGATTTATAAGTATGATATATGAATAAATAAATAAATAATATTTATATTTATTAAATATATATGAAAGAAGAAGATATATCTTCTTTTTCCTCGCCATAATCCCAACTACTTGGGGTCGGCCACTCTTATCCTAATTTTCTACTTGACGTGATTTTCCACATCATCTACGCTCACATTAGATGTTCTCATATCGCAATATATATATATAAATATATATCAAGGGAAATGGTCCAATTAAAAAAAAAGTATGCCGGATCAAAGAACTATATAAATATTATTTCTCATAAAAAAATTGTTTTGATCTATACATTTTTTGAAAAGTTATAAAAATATAAAATTAAAAATGTAAAATATAATATCGAGAATTTTAACACAAAATTAGCATACGGTAGCCATTTTCACCATGAAGAAATAATAAAGTACAACATTTTTTTTTTCATAATAAAGTATATTACATTAGATTTATAGGTTATTTTATTGTTGATACAACAAAAAAAACATTAATCAAGAAGAAGTATACGTGGAAAATTGCGTGAGACACGGGTAAATATCAAATAGACTATATGTGGCCAAGTAGAGATTTAGAAACCAAGTAAAATACTACAGAAGCTATCGAAGAGCAGACATAGATCACTATCTATTGACCAAATAATTTATTGAAAAGTAACCAACAGTTCAAGAAAATAGTATCCTGGAAAAACAACTAATGATGGTATATCAAAAAATTAAAAGAAGAACAGGCAAATCGACAGAATACCTGAGACAGAGGCGCTGGTTCAGGCCGGCGCTTTAGGAAGTCTATATGTGTGTTAAATAATGAATGGGTTATATAATAAAATAATTTCGATAATGTTATTAAAATTTGTGCAAATATTATACTGGGTCATTTTTATTTCATACGACTTAAGCCAAAAACTGCTTTTGCCAAAAATAAAGATTTATGCAAAGTCTTTCGTCCATTTCTAAGTGGTGCGGCTCGGCTAACAGACCTGATTTTTAAGCCCCAATAATTAGGAAGGCCATGCAGTGTTGTTAGTTATAGAGAAGGCGCGTAGGCTTTAATTAATACCTAACGGTAGTTCCAGGGCGGTTCACAATAATACATGTCGTAATAAAAAACAAACAAAATCTTTTACTTAAAAATGACTTGTTTATCACTATCTCGTGTTTCCAATTATTAAAACCAATTACAATGTTTACATAAAATAATTTCTCACCATATTGAAATTCTCATATTGTTTGGAACTCTAAAAAAAAAATTGTGACAGGATGTTTTTATTTAAAATTGCAAAATGAAATATAACCTAAGTGTTATCAACATAAACATACTATAAACATAATTAAAATCTGCGTAAGCTATTATTTAATCATTGAATATAAATAATATTGATTTTTATTAAAAAGTAATGTTTAATTCATAAAATGTATAACACTGATATTAGCAATAATGAAACTTACATCAGCCGTTATATGAAAAATTTGATTTCCTGCCTAAATAAAAAAAAACACAATTGAAAATGCAATAAAAATTTGGTGTTTTTAACTGCAGTTAGCATGTAAAACAATTCATTTGAAAAATTAAGTACATATTAGGAAGAAAATTATGACTATCTTAATTGTAAGGAAGTGTTATATGTTTTTTAATGACTAGATAATACATAAAAATTAAATAAAAAGTATTTTAACCAAAATATTGAATCATATATAGTAGTTTCATAAAATTTATTTAAATTACATTGTCACTTATAAGTATATCTGCAAAAACATCTCTAATGTAAAAATGACACATAAAAATTAAAATAAAAGAATAAGTTTTGTAAAACATTTTTCAGGAATATTAAGATTTAATTAGAATAATTGACCGAATTTTATCTTTGAATATATTTTATTAATTTTCCATTACATTGTTGTATTTTTATAGGATTTTAAATAAATAAATTGTTAAAAACCATTAATAAAAAAAACAAATAGTAGAAATAAATGTGAATTTTTAAACAGTTTTTTTAAGACTTTTTACATATTTTATGACGAAAATATGTAATGTTATTACTCATGCATGAATTGTGAAAAATATTGGTATTTACTTTGTAAAAAATTGCTATTTAATTTAGTTCAGAAGACTAATATATATAAAACTTTATGCAAGGAATTTTCATAAAACACAATAAAAAATACTAAAATATTTATCTGTAAATTTACATTTTTATAATATGCCACATTGATATTTACTTGGTTTCTATACTTAGTATACAACTTAACAGAGATATTTACTATATTTTTGCTATTATTATTTGAGTCAACCATTCGGACGGAAAGTCACCGAGTCACATTTTGACATGAGGAATTTGTTTTATAATTTTCGTTTCTAGTAATTCTCGCCAAATCGATGTGATAAAATTTTGTATTACCTGCAACTTTTGAAGCCAAAAATGATTACAATTTTTTGACTAATTCTCTTGCTTACCCAAAAAGTTGTAATTTTTAAGGGAATTGTTATCATTATTTTGCACTGATAAAGTAAGACCTTCTCTATTGTGAAATAACGATGCAATAATCTTCTTATAGTTCACAGTGCCCCTTTTTAAACTGGTTTTTCGTTTGTTTAAATAAGCCGATGAGATATTGACGTATTTTTATAATTTTTTTATTATCTTGGGATATAATTTTCAGGATCTTTAGAAAACAATTACTGAATGATACCATTTGTTAACGGAAACTTATCATATACATATATTATAGATTTTTGACTGTTAAACTCAATGTATGAATCACCAAGTTTTATTTTATCAAGGGTGATTTTTTTGGGCATAAATTTGATCTAAATTAGGTAATTTAAACCATGAATTAATTGATCAATATTCTGAAGAGATATAGTTTTTCTCAGTGTGATATACACTTTTGGTATTATTCAAAAGTTCAGCGGTTTTAATGTGAATATCTGATTTAGTCTTTTTATATTTATTCTTTATACCCACTAAATTTTTAAGTGGTGTAATTACTGGTTTTAAATTTTGTCTTATATATTTTTCTGTGTTATAATCATTTTGTTTTAATTCCATACATTTTTGTCTAATGTATTTGCGGGCTTGTACTAATTCAGTAAGTACCCATAACTGTTCTCTGTCATGTTTAATGAATAGATGGATGCTTTGAATATAAAATGTAGACTATATAGTTATAAAAGTATCAAAATTTAACCTGAAACGCCCGTTGTTCTGTGAATCTGGACAACTTGATCGAATGTAAACATGTTCATCCCGTTTACACCCTCTATAATATCATTTAACATTCGATACTTTGGTTGATCACAAGTTTTTGAATAAAGATAATTATTTTCAAATTTTAATCAGTTTTCGCTTGTAAGTAAAGAAAATACCTCATTGGTTTTTCCTCCACCGAAGGGGACCTGAATAAGAACGAGTATTCTAATTACTATTAAAATTTTTTATTATGACGCTTTATTCTAATTGAGAAATATCAAGTATTCATTCCGATTACGAGGGATGATTTCCGTATCGTCATTTTTCGCCACTGCCTCCACGTTCTGCGAGTAGGTAATTTGAGCGCCTGCTGCTTTCCTTGGATGTAGTAGCCGTTTCTCAGATTCCCTCTCCAGAATCGTACCCTGATTTCCCGTTACCCAATACAACCATGATATTGATAGTAACTACTATCATAACATGAAACTAAAAAGTGAACTAAAATATAGTTTAAAATCGTGTTTTTTATTTTTTTGAAACTGTATTTATTTGTGTTAACAGGGATATTAACAATATTTTTGCTATTATTATTTGAGTCAACCATTCGGACGGCAAGTCACCGAGTCACGCCTTGACATGAGGAATTTTAAACATTTAGGGTCAGTTGTGCTAAAGAGTGGCGTTATGGACGAGGATGTAAGACACAGAATTAAGCTCGAGTGGTTGAAGTGAAGAGAAGCTTCTGGCGTCTTATGCGATAAAAGAATTTCAATGAGGCTGAAAGGTAAATTCTACAAGACTGTAATAAGGCCAGCTATGATGTATCATTCAGAGTGTTGGGTGGTTGATAAGAATGTAGAGCAGAGAATGAGTGTAGCAGAGATGAGAATGCTTAGATGGATGAGTGGAGTGACTAAAAAAGATAGAATAAGGATATAAGAGGGAGTATAGGTGTTGCGTCAATCGTGGATAAGATGAGAGAAAATAGACTTAGATGGTTTGATCATGTTATGAGGAAAGAAGAATCGAAAGCTGTAAGAACATTTATAGAAATGAATTTTGAAGGAATAAGAGGTAGAGGAAGACCAAAAAAGAGATGGACGGATGCTATTGAATACGATTTGAGGACAGCTGAAGTGAGCGTAGATGAAGTGGGAGATCGTGTCAAGTGGAAGTTTAGGATAAGGGTGGCCGACCCCAAATAGTTGGGATTAAGGCGAGGAAGAAGAAGACGATTTATTAGTGTTAAATTTCTTGATTTTATATTTTACATTTTTAACTTTATATTTCTATAACTTTTCGAAAAAAAAGGAAAGATCAATAAAATTTTTTTTCGAGAAAGAAAATTTAAATACCTCTTTCATTCGACATATTTATTTTTTAAATCGAATCATTTCCCTTTGTACAGGGGCGCTTCAAAACTAAAAAACCCAGCACAGGGGGGTCGCGGCATAGTGGTGACGTGGCATAGATGGATCAAGTATAATGATATCTGACAGTGATTAAAATCACTATCATAAAAAATGCTTCGATGCAAATCTTTAGATACTTTTTAATTTTAAAAAATTGGTGGACTATTCTAAAAGCTACATGATCTGCTAGTTCATTATTAATATCCTAATTAAGATAAAGTATGTAGAATGAAAAAGGGATTATTAAAAAATATTATTTCTCATAAAAAAATAATGTTGATCCATACACTTTTCAATATGTCATAGCATTATAAAGTTAAAAATGTAAAAAATAAAATCGAGAATTTTCACACAATATTAGCATTCAGTAGCTATTTTCACCGTAAAGACTAAATAAAGTCCGAAAATTTTTTTTCGCATAATAAAGTACATTACATTAGCTTTAATTTAAAATATATATAAAAGTGTCAGACTTTCCGGAACACTTTCAAAATTTAAGTTGAAAAAGTAAACTTTTTGTGAAAAAGTTGTCATTTTGAATCCCCCCCTGTAGGCAAGTAAAAAGTCAGATTTATAAAAAAATTATACCAAATGATAGGTAGACATCATGCATCTACAAAAAAAAAGAATTATATTGATCCATAGATTTTTCAAAAAGTTATAGCATTATATAGTTAAAAATATAAAAAAGAATTTTTTTACAAAAATTGTATTTTTTTTATTAAGTTTAATGTCTGTTTTCACCATGAAGATAAAATAAAGTCCGAAATTTTTTTTTACCATTATAAAGTATATTACATTAGCTTTAATTTAAGATATATATAAAAGTGTCAGACTTTCCGGAACACTTTCAAAATTTAAGTTGAAAAAGTCAATTTTTTGTGAAAAAGTTGTCATTTTGAATCCCCCCCTGTAGGCAGGTAAAAAGTCAGATTTATAAAAAAAATATACCAAATGATAGGTAAAGACATCATGCATCTACAAAAAAAAGAATTATATTGATCCATACATCTTTCGAGAAGTTATAGCATTATAAAGTTAAAAATATAAAAAAGAATTTTTTTACAAAAATTGTATTTTTTTTATTAAGTTTAATGTCTGTTTTCACCATGAAGATAAAATAAAGCCCGAAGTTTTTTTTTACCATTATAAAGAATATTACATTAGCATTAATTTAAGATATATATAAAAGTGTCAGACTTTCCGGAACACTTTCAAAATTTAAGTTGAAAAAGTTCTAATTTTTACATGCATTTTCTATATTTTAAGCCCCCCATATATAGGGAAATGGTTCGATTTACAAAAACAGTATGTCAAATAAAAGATATATATAAATACTACTCCCCGTAAAAAAATTGTACTGATCCATACATTTTTCAAAAAGTTATAGCATAATAAAGTTAAAAATGGATAATACAAAATCGAAAATTTTCACACAAAAATAGCATTCGGTAGCCATTTTCACCGTGAAGATAAGTTAAAGTCCATGAAATTTTTTTTTAATTTAAGGTTAAGGGTTAAATTTATAAAAAAATATACAAAATGAAAGGTAATGATATTATTCATCTTTATAAAAAAGAATTATATTAATACGTTCATTTTTGAAAAAGTTATGGCACTTTTAAGTAAAAAAAATTGAAAAAATTTTGAAAATTAGCGATTTTTAAATTTGTAATTTTTTTGGAGGTTTCCCCCATTTACGGGGAACGAGGGAATTTTTTTCAATTTTTAAGGGTAATGTCTTCGACTAGATACAATTTGTGATCTTTTGACGTATCGTTGAAAGAAATCCGTTCGGTGAGAGCTGAGAAAAAGTGATAACAGACACAAAAAAAAAAAAATTAACACATCTTAGTAAAACCAATACCTTCTCAGCTTCGCATCGAAGCAAAATACATATAGAAAGTAGAACTTTTTCAACTTAATTTTTGAAAGTGTTCCCGAATTACTGACATATATATATATCTTAAATTAAAGCTATGTAATAAATCTTATTATGGAAAAAAAGGAATCGTACTTTATTATTTCTTCACGGTGAAAACAGACATCAAAGTTAATAAATAAAAATACGATTTTTACAAAAAGTTCTCTTTGATATTTATGTTATAACTTTTTGAAAAATTTATGGATCATTATAATTTTTTTTTGAGATAAGTAGTATTTATATTCTTCTTTTATGCGACATCTTTTTTCTTTTAATCGGACCATTTCCCTTTATATATTTATATATTACACTTATATATCATAAAACTTAATCAGAATATAAATAAGGAAATAGGAAATAGAAATATTTTTAAANTTCACCGTGAAGATAAGTTAAAGTCCATGAAATTTTTTTTTAATTTAAGGTTAAGGGTTAAATTTATAAAAAAATATACAAAATGAAAGGTAATGATATTATTCATCTTTATAAAAAAGAATTATACTAATACGTTCATTTTTGAAAAAGTTATGGCACTTTTAAGTAAAGAAAATTGAAAAAATTTTGAAAATTAGCGATTTTTAAATTTGTATAATATTTCATAAATAATAAAACAAATCAAATAATAGATATTTTTTTAATTTTTAATTGATAATTTCATAACCATTTTTGAAATTAATTAAATTTCAACAAATATTGAAAATATAACATATACGAGGTACGTCCAGAAAGTAAAGATACAAAGCTTACCAAAAATATACTAAACCGTTTTATTAAAAAAAAATTACGTAGCATTAAAGGTATATATCTAATCATTTTTTGACATAATCGCCATTAAGTTCCAAACACTTTTGGTAACGTGGGATGAGTTTTTGTATACCGGCGTCGTATTCCGTTCGAGCCACCTCCTGTAGCCATGTGGTCGTGTAATGTTTGAGGTCCTCATCGTCGTCGAATCTTTTCCCTCCCAAAGCTTCCTTCAAATTGGTGAAGAGATANGCTTCCTTCAACTTGGTGAAGAGATAGTAATCGCTGGGGGCCAAGTCAGGACTGTGAGGTGGGTGGAACAAAATGTCCCAACCAAATTGCTGCAGTAATTCTTGTGTTTCTCGAGCAGTATGGGGGCGAGCGTTATCATGAAGAAGACACACTCCTTTTGTCAGCATTCCCCGTCTTTTGTTCTTTATGGCACTTCTTAATTTTTTAAGGGTTTCACAATATGCTTGTGCATTAATGGTAGTGCCACGGACCATGTAATCGACTAGGATAACTCCCTTCCTGTCCCAAAAAACGGATGCCATGACTTTCCGGTTTGAAAGAGTTGTTCGGAATTTTTTGGCACTGGGAGAATGTGTATGGCGCCACTGCATTGATTGTCTTTTGGTTTCTGGCGTCGTGTAAGAAATCCAAGTTTCATCTCCTGTCACTATACTGTCCAAAAATTCCTCTCCTTGTTCGTCATGACGTTCCAAAAACATTCTTCCTGCCTCAATCCTGTACTGTTTGTGTTCTTCTGTGAGCATTTTTGGGACCCAACGAGCACTCAGTTTCCTGTAATCAAGTCAATTCGAGATTACTTCATGCAGAACAGATCGAGAAACGCCTGGGCACTTCTCGAGAAGTTCGTCGAGAGTCAAACGACGATCTTCACGGATGAATTGTTCGACTTTTTGGATGAAATCGTCGGTCACCAAAGACGGCCGGCCGCTCCTCTCCTTATCATGCACACTCTTTCTTCCTTCTCAAAATTCTCGTACCCATTTGGTGACGTTTTGGCGATTCATAACATCTGGTCCATATGCTTTGACAAGTCGACGATGACTTTCAGTGGGAATGATTCCTTCTTGAGCGAGAAAATGGATCACACTTTTCACTTCACACTTTGAATATTCAGTAATAGAGGTGGCGGTAGCGCGCGATGACTCGCCCATTGTGAAAACCTCTCACGGACAAAAAACGTAACGTACTAAAACCGTACTGGTCTGAACTTGTTCGCGACATGTCACCGAAAGTTGCAATAGTGCCAATGCTCGAAAAAAAAATTCATTGTGGCCGTAGGGAGGCTTGTATCTTTACTTTCTGGACGTCACTCGTAGTTATCATAAAAAATATTTCATAACTAAATTTTTTCTTGAATTAATGAAAAAAATAATAGAATTTTTTTTTTTGTTTTTAAATCTGTATTAATTATCATGAAAGTTTTTATAAAATAAATTAAAAATAAATATTGGCATATTTTTAGCCTATACAATGAATATATCAAAAGTTACCAAATATTTTCGTATTCTATATTAATTAACTTGAAAATTATCTCCAATTTTGTTTTTAATTCATCTAGTGTATCTGGTATAACATTAAAATTGTACGAATTATGAAAATCTTTTAAAACATTACATAATGTATCATTTGATATCTGTGTATTCGATATTTCGAACTTTTCACAATTATGATCTTTCAATTGTTTGGACATATTTAAAACATGTGTGCATATGTTTGCCAAATGTATTAAAGTATTAATTTGGTAATTACTATACATTTCATTTATGAAGTTGATTATGTGACAACTTATTTTATTACTCGTTAACAATTTATTTATTGCTTCATCCAATTTTTTAAAATATATTATTAATTTCTTCCAAAATGGATTAGAATCAAAAGATTCATCAATGTTTAGTATCTTATAGGTATATACAGTTAGTAAAAGCACATATTTAGTAGTTCGATTAGCTATGATTTTATCTACCTCAAGTAGAAACTGTTCAACTCTTTTTTCAATCATTGTGAAATTATTTAATAAATCTTCAATCGTTGTATAGGAATTATCAAAAGAATTTAATTCAATAAGATCATCTTTAATATAATTCCATAAAGACGAACTTTGGATATTATCTAGTTTACATTTTATGTTATTATCATAAACCGTAGAATTCCTTTCAAGATTTCCATTCTGTTAAAAACAAATTAAAAATTTATATCAAATTTTATTTTAATTACCATCATAAATGAAAAACATTATTAATAACTTTTGTACCAGGAAATATTTTGCGTTCAATATAAAAAATATATAATAATAATTATATTAGTTAGTTTTTACATTATGTTTTCACTACGTTTGAAACGTATTATTTCAGATTTTCAAAAGAAAAATTTTGTAGCTGTTACTTATAAAAAAATTTGATAGATCGTACAACAACTTAAGAATAAGTACTTATTGAGTTGCATACATTTAAATGCACAGAGTGGGTATGTAGATTCTACATACCTCCACTACATACTATAATATATAGAAATATTGAATTAGATAAGATTCCAAATACATTCTAATATCATAAATATGTTAGATTGACTTACATAAATTCTAACTACTTTAAATATAATTTTATTGTGTAAGTTCCTTATATATAACTCCAAGTTGTTAATGTCTCTTTCTGTAAATAAAATAATTCATTATTTTAAAATTTTTGTATTATTAAATTATTTATAGTGCATAAAAGTATAATGCATAATTTCTAATTAAAAAATAAACTAATGTAACAAAAAAAAAAAAAATACCCAGCGCATTGAGAAATAGGCATAGTTGTGACAAGTATAGATATTATCTGACAGTGATTAAAATTACTATCATAAAAAACTCTTTTATACATATCTCTAAATTGTGTTTAATTTTTAGAAAGATAAGTTAAATTTTTCTAAAACTAACATGATTTCTATTTTTCCAGTTATATCCTGATTACAAGTTTTTTGTATTAATTATATTAAGTATAAAATTAATATTAAATATTAAATATAATTCAGTATTATATTATTTATATTATTATTAATAAATTATTAATCACAAAGAAACAAAATACGTTTTAATCCTTCTTAGCCAATTTTAATTTCAATTTTAAAATTGAATTTGTACTTAAAATTAAAATTAAAATTCCAATTTTAAATAATATTAGCAACAAGTGATAAATTTTTATTTCATTGAAATTATAATTTATCATAAGCCATTCGTAGCACAACATTTTATTTGGACCGTTCCTTTCCTTATATATACATATTGGATAGACATAAAATGTTAAAAAAATCCTTCCTGAATATATTTATAATTAATACATTAATCTTTATTATTTATAATTTTTGTAAATAGGGGGAGGAGTTATTTCCCTTTTACATGGACGAGAAAATTTTATTTTCAATTGAATAAATCTAATAATATATAAAAAAGTCGGTTTACCATTTGAAAATCAAAAGATGATACTAGTTTAAGGTATAAGAGATGGTAGTAGAAAATTAATTTTTCTGATAAAGCAGTTAAAAAAACAATCACTATAGTTAAAAAAAATGAAATAATGATTAACTCTTACATTTTCGATGTTATTTTAAGGGGCATGGTTAAGAAAACACTTTGTATATATTCTAAATATTTTGGTGGAAATCAATTGTTTAAGCAATAATATTTTATATTTATACAGAATGATATCACGTTTTGAGAAATCGTATAACTATATTATTAAGAATTTTAAGACAACGTAGATTTTTCTTTATAAATATATATAAAAAATTACTCTTTTTGTGCCACCGTTCTGACTTAAGACAAATCTAGCCATACTATTGTTAAACTACCTTGCGCATAACAAAAATGATAAGTTTTAATTCATCTAAAATATACATACCATTGTATGAAAAGTAGCACTGTTTGTATTCTTTTGTTACAACGATTTTTTTTTCCCCTAAGTTCTTAAAAGATATAAATTAGTTTTAATGAAATTAAAAAAAAAAAATTAATTTGGATAATTAACTTTTGAAAAAGTTGCAATTTTAGGTTTTTACTTTTGTTTGAACATTACAAAAATATACAAAATGATATAAAATTGAAATAAATTCATTTAATTTTTATTAGTTTTAGTATTTTTTTTATGTGTTTATTATTTACTTATTTAATTACTAATAAAATAGTTGATATTTTTAGGAAAAGTTACATACGATTCTTAGTTTGATTAAACTTGGAAACTTATTATCTTCATTGTCATCCTGAATTAAAAATACTTTTTTTATTTTTCCTTGTAAATGAAGTGTTTTAGATACGATCAAATAACACAATTACTCACATAATTTATATAAATTTCTGCAAAAATTTTTGTATTTTTTCTTTTTAGTTTAAATACCTTAAATATATTCAAAATAATGAGGTTAATCATTTTTGTAATTTTTGCCAAAAATTATACACTAATAAGGATATACACAAAGATTTGAATTATTAATACTGAAAGTTATCAGGTGAACTTGTTATTGAAAAAATATCATTAACCAAGAATTTCTTAATGCTAATTTCAAATTATTAACTATATAAATATAAGGTAATTAATTTGTCATTTACTACAAGATTTCTAGTAAAATAATAGATTTTAAAAAATATTCGTTATTTTGTTGAGTGGTATTATTTTTTTGTTTTGTAAGTAGTTAATATTTATAGATTCATTTCTTATCCCTTATAAAAGTATAAATTTGATTTTTTATAGTAACAACATACAAATTTAAATTTGGTAGCTTATATAAAAGAAAATTATCTAATTTGGAAATTGATTAAATTATTTAACTAGCTTATATAATATAATTTAAAAAATTAAGTTTGAGACCTTATCAGTTATGAAGTGTGCACCTTAAAAAATATTCTCCGCCTTCACCTAGTCCTACTTAACTAGAGGGTAGTAATGAAACTTAACTTTAACTAACCTAATTCAATGGAAGGAGGACGAAACCTAACATAAAAAAAACCCAGCACAATTGGAACGTGGCATAGTTGGGTCACGTATAGAGTGATTAAAATCACTGTCATAAAAAACGCTTCGATTCAAATCTTAGATAGTGTTTAATTTAAAAAAATTGGTGGATTATTCTTAAAGCAACATGATCTCCTATTTCCTTATTTATATCCTGATTACAAGTTTTATGATTTATAAAAGTAATATGTGAATAAATATTTATTATAGCAAATAAATATAATATGAAATTGATATTTAATAATTTAGTATCGTATTAATTTTGGAACACTTGCCCCAAGACGGATTCTATGACGTTAGTCATACTTTAGTTGAAATTTTGAAGGATAAAAATATAAACATACACTTCCACGGTTGGGTTTAAAAGATTACTAATGAGTATTAATAAAGCGCCATCCATTTATCAGTCTGTCATGTGCAAAATGATAGGAGGCCTTAATTATAAAAACAATGTCGGTTACCACCTCTATGGGTACGTAATTTTTGTCAAAACAATTGATAATTATTTAAATGTACTCAAACTTATATTAAGATGATTCCAATACTATAACCTGAAATTCAAACCGCATGACAATCCAATGATAATCGACGGCGGCGGTCATGTAGCAATATATTTCAATGCAAGTGTAAAAATATCAATATACTTAAATGATAGGGTCAGTGTTAATTCGTGGAATAAGCTTTTGTATGTACGTTCAAGGGTTAATGCGCAACTACACTGGAAAATTAATTTTAATTATTTCGCATAAAAATTGATTTATTACACAAAATGTATTAATTAATAGGCGTAGAGATGATCGAATGTTAGGAAAGTTGTGTTATTTTACGTTGGAAAACCCTCCCCTTGTAGTTGTATGTGGAGGAAGAGGAGAGGCGCGCGGAGCATACAATACTACTGATGATAATCAAAACCCAAAATTGATCAATGTCCATAATAGTTGCTATTTTTTACAATGTTTTGAAAAGTTGGAATACAGAAAAAGGGATTACGCTAATAAGACTAGACTCTAAACGATTGTATCGCTCTTATAAAAAAATTTTTTAGTTTTAAATAGTTTACTAAGGAATTTTGCTCGAATACCTTCTATACATCATAAAATCATTATAGATACTAGCTGTTAGAACACTAACTAGTTTTGATATATCATAAATAACTCAATTAAGTTTTAAATTATTACTTTATAATGTCTTGGTTTGTTTAAACAAGGCAAAAATTAAGAATTGCCAAATAATGGCAAACTGACAATGACTGTAGCCTTTACTCCACATTTACTTTTATGCCCTGTATATTTGTTATTATTTATTTTAATTTCAAGTAATATTCTTAAATTAATTTATTACCAATTCTAAAATACCGCATTTTACATAAGCCTACAATGAAAATTATAGGTTAAAATATTTGTATAGTTATAGAATCATTAACTATAATGAATTTGAAATAAAATTAATTAGTAGGGTAAAATAATGATTTACTTCTTTCTTTGTCCAGTGCTTCTTCACAACTAACTCGGCATACGGTTTCTGTAATATAACCACTGAATATAAATAATGTTGATCTTAATATTAATTAAAAAGCTTAATTTATGTAATTAAATTAAACTTAATGTAACAAAAGTTGGAGCTTACAAAACTGTCACCATCGGAATATTGATAAATTTTTACTTCCCCCTAAAAAACAAAAAAAAAATTTAAGACTATCATAAAAAATTTGCCATTTATATTTAAAAATACAAAAATAATAAATTTATAAAAATAAAATAAAATATTTGATTAAATTAGAAGACAGTTGCTAATGGATTTTTTGTCGGCCTGCAACAACAATGTGTTTTGTCACTTGTATTACAACTAGCTGTAGTAGTAACGGTCGCCACCACCTAGGCTAGATATCACACCTATTAGATATGATTACCGGACCATTGGTGGAATTTAATTTTAAGTTAATTAATAGTTTAATTTAAGTTAATATATCGCTATATGTTTAAATGATTATAATACCTATTTGCTTATTAACGACAACTATGATAATCGTAGTTGTAAGTGATTGATATATAAAACAAACTATAGCTCGTATCGTAGATTAATCTCGTAGACTAAGGGACAGGGATAAAATACACGCGAGTACTTAAGTTACTCGTGCAATAAAATAAATAATACAGTTAAAATTATTAAGGAAATTTAATTTAATTGTTAAAAAAAAGAAGATTAACATGAAAAAAAATACTAGTGTATCAAAAACTACGTCTACAAAGAAAGGAAACAAAAATAAAATCAAATATTTGAACAAAATCAAATAATATAACAAATATCACAGACGGAAAGCGGATCACATCCGTTAATGTTACTAGGAAATTAATAAAAAACGCCAGGGGCTGTATGTCACTCACTCCTTAGCGCTGTCTAGAAGAAAAAGGAAACACGTGCTCTCCACACATAAATAAAATTAAGTTAATATATCATAAATGAAATGAAATAAAGCTCATTACATTTATATAATTATTAAAAAAAGAAAAGGACACCCGGTCTCTGAAGGGACCCATCCTGATGGTCTGGATACTTCGCTGAAAAGACCTGGCTGTTTGCCGTTGGCGGCTCTACTCTACATCATTGAGCAAAAAAAAAGTGACACGAAGACGAAAAATATGTGCATACTAGCACGGTCAATGACAGATAAAGGATGAGGAGCCACACCGCTAAGTCACAATAATGACTTGTTGACACCGCGATGTTAGAAAAAGGTTCATTCGCACACTCTCTTGCTCAATAAAATACATAAATAGACGTCACAAAAAATTATAAACGGTCCACCTTAGAATTTGTGACGTTTCATAGTTCAAATTATGTTATTATCACTTTATTTGTGTGAAAAATGTTGCATTAAATGAGAAATAAATTCGATCAAATTGTTTAGAAAATATATAATTAAATATTACAATTGATTATTTTTTAAAAAAATATATATGTATATGTAAAAATATTTGATTTACTGGGCTAATAAAAATCGTCGCAGCAAAAACATTTTCTAATAAATATTCACTTGTGAATACTAAAACAAAAGAAATTATTTTATAAAACATGTCTTAGAAAACAAAAACTGTATATAGTAAAAGTGTAACGACAATTTTTTTTATATATTTAGTTCAGTTCAAATTATAATGTGTTATATAGAAATATAAAGTAAATCTAATATGAAAATAACATAAAAACGAAGAAAAACAATTGAGATTGATGCGTAATACGGTTATATGCTGTTATTATTTAAATAATAATATAAATAGATATTTTTATTATTTACCAACAAATAGTGCACAAAGTCTTAATCGACTTGTGTCCTTATAGCATTGAAATAATAACTTATAAAATTATTCTTTTTATAGTGCAATAAAGATACAATTTTTGTTCTTTAAATAATTATTTAAGTTACAAGTATAGATTTTTATAATCATGGATGTACTGGTCCTCTGTGCTATAACAGAGTGGATCGATGATCATTGTATTGGCAGAGTACTGAGATAGTGTCGATTATTAACAATTTAATTTTTTTTTCAATATTTGATTGATTTAAAAAAATATATTTGTTTTTAAATTGCTCATATCAAATAGTTACACAAACATATTTACAATGAATCCATAAACGGATAATTGGTAAAATGTTAAGAGAGCTTAGAATAATTTTAGTAAACAGAATGTTTTATTAAAATAATAATTTTGTATACTGACACATTTAACCCTCAGGAAGTATGATTGTGTTGTATGATCCACGCGCGACAAACGTACCCATACACAAAGGTACTAGTATTTAAAACTAGAAAGAAATCACTTTACTGATAATCTATCCGGCAAGGATAACAGAGGAACATACATACAGGGTTAAGTTAAAAAAACCCAGCACACTGGGGTCGCGGCACAGTGGTGACGTGGCATAGTTGGGTCCAGTATAGATGATATCTGACAGTGATTAAAATCACTATCATAAAAAACGCTTCGATGCAAATCTGTAGATAGTGTTTAATTATAAAAAAAAAATTTGTCAAAAAAGTAGATTAAGTGAGAGCTGAGAAAATAAATGATAGCTACAAAAAAAAAACCACATAGTAAAACAATATTTATAATGAATTTCTTCTCACGAGAGGAGTATAAACTAATGGGATCCTTGATATTTATTGAAGTTATTGAATATAAATGATATAAAAATCAAATGAGTGAAACATTTTTTCTAACTCAAAAAGAATTAAGAGAAAATTCAGTGCCACAGGCGTGAAAGACCCAAGTGTTACCGTCTCAGAAACCGTACGTCGCTTTCGTCACTCAATAAAAATGGAAATTTAACTAGTTCAAATTTTAAAGTTATTTTTCTCGACTTCAAAGAAACAAAAAAATTTAAATATGTTTAACTTTATATACCATGTCAATTAGATTGATGTAATATTTATGAAAATCAGTGTAATCTTCTTATAATAGAATAAAACAAAATACAAATCCAAGAATTTCAACACGAAAATAGCATATTTTTGAATACGGTAGCTATTTTCACCATGAAGACAAAATAAAGTCCGAAATTTTTTTTTTTAATGTTAAAGTATTTTACATAAGCTTTAATTTAAGATATATATAAAATTGTCAGTATTTCCGGAATACTTTCAAAAATTAATTTGAAAAAGTTCTACTTTTTATATGCATTTTTATGTTTTGAACCCCCCCTGTATTTAGGGAAATGGTCCGATTTAAAAAAAAAGTCTGTTAAATGAAAGAAATATATAAATATTATTTCTTATAAAAAAAATTGTATTGATCCATTCATTTTTCAAAAAGTTTTAACATTTTAAAGTTAAAAATGTAAAATATAAAATCAATAATTTTAACACAAAAATAGCATATGGTAGCCATTTTTACCATGAAGAAATAAAGTCCGAATTTTTTTTTTTCATAATAAAGTATATTACATTAGCTTTAATTTAAGATATATATAAAAGTGTCAGTATTCCGGAACATTTTCAAAAGTTAAGTTGAAAAAGTTGTCATTTTGAATCCCTTCCTGTGGGCAAGTAAAAGGTTAAGATAATCAAATGATAAGAAAAGATATTATGCATCTATAAAATAAAAATTATACTGATTAGTTCATTTATGAAAAGGTATAGCAGTTTTAAGTAAAAAAAGATGAGTAATTTGTTTATGATTCAGTGTACTATTGTTTATTGTTCTACGAATTTTTAAAACATATGTTATGTGTATATTGTTTAACAAATAAATATTAATATATTATTTGCAAGCATAATACATATACAATATAAACAAAACCCAGCACAGGGGGGTCGCGGCACAGTGGTGACGTGGCATAGTTATCAAGTATAATGATATCTGACAGTGATTAAAATCACTATAAAAAAAAAACTCTTCGATGCAAATCTTTAGATAGTGTTTAATTTTAAAAAATTGGTGGATTATTCCAAAAGCTACATAATTTGCTAGTTTCTTATTAATATCCTGATTAAGATAAAGTATGTCAAATGAAAAAGGAATTATTAAAAAATAGTATTTTTCATAGAAAAATTATGTTGATCCATACATTTTTCAAAAAGTTATAGTATAATAAAGTTAAAAATGTAAAATACATAATCGAAAATTTTCACACAAAATTAGCATTTGATAGCCATTTTCACCGTGAAGATAAAATAAAGTCTGAAATTTTTTTTTTGCATAATAAAGTAAATTACTTTAGCTTTAATTTAAGATATATATAAAAGTGACAGACTTTCCGGAACACTTTCAAAAGTCAAGTTGAAAGAATTGTCATTTTAATTCCCCCCCTGTGGGTAGGTATAGGGTCAGATATAAAAACAAAATATACCAAATGATAGGTAAAGACATCATGCATCTATAAAAAAAAAGAATTATATTGATCCATACATCTTTCAAAAAGTTATAGCATTATAAAGTTAAAAATATAAAAAAGAATTTTTTTACAAAAATCGTATTTTTTTTATTAATAATAATGTTCTGTTTTCATCATTAAGATAAAATAAAGTCTAACATTTTTTTTTACTATAATAAAGAATATTACATTAGCTTTAATTTAAGATATGTATAAAAGTGTCAGACTTTCCGGAACACTTTCAAAAGTTTAGTTGAAAAAGTTCTACTTTCTATATGCATTTTTTAGATTTGAACCCCCCTCGTATATAGGGAAATGATCCGATTTAAAAAAATAGTATGTTGAATGAAAGATGTATATAAATACTACTTCTCATGAAAAAATTGTGTTGATCCACGCATTTTTCAAATAGTTATAGCATAATAAAATTAAAAATGTAAAATGCAAAATCGAAAATTTTCACACAAAAATAGCATTTGGTAGCCATTTTCATCGTGAAGATAAAATAAAGTCCATTACATTAACTTTAATTTAATATATATATAAAAGTGTCAGACTTTCCGGAACATTTTCAAAAGTCAAGTTGAAAAAATTAATTTTTTGTGAAACAGTTGTCATTTTAAATCCCCCCCTGTGGGCAAGTTTTTCTCCTGCTCTATGGGACATGAGTATATTCTATTTGTAGACAGTGTGGTTATCCATTCATTACAATTCTATGCGATAGGAGGGAAAATAATAATATTTGAGTAATAATTCAAGGTGAGGTATAAATTAATTGACTTTAATGGCACCACTTTGGATTTCGCGCAAATTAACTTTGATGTGCGCTGTCCGTATTTCTTGGTGCATCTCATGTGTGAATTTATATAACATTCATTTTATTTTGACGAATTATTTAATGTGCATAATTTTTGCAATCCATTTCTGTATTCTAACCATTTGTTTTTAATTTGGGTAACTGATCATTCCATTCTATTTTCAAAAACCATAATTTCTGTAAAAATAATTTCACTTGCAGGCTCTACAAATCCAAATTGGTCAAAAAAACTTGCTATCTCAGACAAAATTTTTCTTTTCTAGAAATGTATCATTAAAACATGGAATTCGTCTAAATTGCATTATTTAGAAAATTCCTATTAAAAAATAATGTATTAATAAATATCGCTTTTAAATGTAATATTAATTTCGTATTCTATTCTATTTCATTCAAATTATTAATTATAGCAAAATAGTATAATTACTAACACATGTACTAAATATCACTGACAGAGGACACTAACGTGCTGAGCAAAATAAACGTAGACAAGTTTTATGGTTCACTGAATGACGTCGAGACGTTTACTGAAAGGAGAAACAATAATGATAATACAGTACGCAAATATTTAACAACAAAGGCCGAATAAATAATTAGGCAACAAAGAAAAACACAGTAATCGATGTATACGTCTTACGGTGAGGCAAGAAAAATAGTTCAGACGAAACGACGATTGTATGGCGGTGTTACGATGAGGAATTCAATGTATATGCGGTGAGTCGTCGTCGGCCGCACGGTACTTGCTGGACTTTGTACCATGGCGTATGGCACGCTGTTTAGTCAATCACACTACCATATACACGAAGTTGAGCGACGGCTGATAAAAGAGGCGCGGGCCGCGTATTCTGTGTATCGCGAAGGACTGAGATTTGCTTGCTGGTAAACTTTTTGTCAATATTCTTTTACGTGGAATTCGTGTCGGTTTAATTAAATGCTTTGCCCCTACGACTTGGTTTCTTTTTTTCTCATATTACCCTAAATGGTGAACATTATTTTTAGATGATTAAAAATATTTATCCAGCAATAAGTCTTATTTATTTTTACCTAAAAATTCTTACAAAAAATTAATACTTAATTATTTTTAATAGTTTCAAATATTTTTGTATCCTTCATTCATGATCAGCCTTAAATGTGATGCAGTTTTACGGACATGTCCTGCCATTTTGGTAACCAATACACTTATAAGACATCAAGTGGTGTATTGTAGTAATATTTATTGTGTATTAATGAGATTAACTGTGTCCGCGCCAGCCAAAGAATTATAATAAGAAACGTTGGACCACCACAGTCTTGTAGATTATATTTTGAATANATTTTTTAGTTTTTTTAAATTAATAATATTTTTAATATAGTTTTAATTTTACTTAGATAAACATATTCTTATAATTTTGTTTTGAGAAGTTCAGAGTGAGTTTTAAAAAT